ATGGGCTCCTCGTTATACTGCACCTTGAACTGGTACGTGGTCTCCTGAAGCTCTCGCTGAATGGCGTCTTGCGTGACTTGCAGTTTTGAAGACATCTGGTGCTCCAAAACTTGCATGAGCTTCTTCCGCAGTGTGACGACACCGGTATTTATGTGAGCATCCGACCCAAACAGGGCCGGGTACTGGCCAAAGTAGCTCTTCTCGTTGCGGCTGATAGTCGTCAAAATATTGCCCGTATCTCTCTTAAACAGACCCGTCTGGGTGGGCAGCTTGGAGATGACACCGACATAGCCCAGCCGAAGAGGGTACTGCTTGTCGGCTAGAATGGCAGCCCCCTTTTCCGCGTCAACCAGGTCCATCTTGGTGATGACGCCGATTGTCCGCTCGCCCCTCGGGTCTACCCTCCTACTAGCTTGTAGCGCGGTGGAATTGGCAAGATCCACATCGGCGGCCGAGATGGCCAGGATGATGTTGGGACCTCGGATGTACTTGTCACACAGCTCTGAGATCTTTCTCTTCAGTTCTCGGGGCTGGTTCTCGCCAGCGACCTGGATATAGCCGGGTAGATCGATGAGCGACAAGTCTGGTACCCTTGGAGAGTGGATAACGAGATGGATCGGGTCATCTGATACACACTCAGACTCGGGAACCGACTGGTTGAGCTCGACGAGGTTCTTTTGGATCAGAGAGAAATCGGTAATCCTGTGCAAGCCAAGATCGGGGAATTCGCCATAGTCGACGCGGGCATCCGGATCGTTGACCAGCGTGAGCTCGATCGGTCGACGGGTGATCATGTTTGTCCCTTTGGGCAAGAATTCGTGACCGACGATTGCCTCCAGAACGGAGCTCTTCCCCGAGGACTGTGACCCGATAACGACGATGGCGGGCAGGGTAACCGTGTTGGACTGGCCGACTTTTTGGAGAAGATTCCGGATTTCGATCATCATCTTGGTGATGTGCATCATGTGGTCGTCCTTGGCGACTTCCTCGGGGGTCCTCTCGTCGTCTTCCGAGGCCTGATCGTAGCCGTATGCCGCCGCGGATGCAGAGGCCACCGCTGCAGCCCCAGCCCTGCTTTGTTTTGGTGGTTCGGGACCGCCAGAGTTGCCGTTACCCTCACCCGACTCTCCATCCCTCCGCAGTATCTTATCGAGCCACTCGGGCAGCTCGATCTGCTCTTTCGTGTTTTCCCAGCCCCGTTTCGTCTGTCCGGCGATATCGACGGCGCTGCCCCACAGGCTGGTGGTGGTGGTTGCAAAGGCGTCCTTCATGTTCCCAAACATTTCCTGAGCCGAGTTGCTCACCTGGATAGCCTGGTACTGGATCCATGCCACGCCACCAACCACGAGTCCGCCGAACAGAGCCGGGATGCGGGCGAATTTGACGACAAGCTTGGGCAGGATGCGGGCGAACGAGGCATTTCGGACAATGACAGCATTGTGGTAGGCATTCGCGGGAAACCGGGTCGGTCTTCTAACAGCGCGGGCAACACCGTCGGCTCTTTGGATGCCGCCGGTCGGGAGCTGGTGGAAGTGACGAACGGCGCGGAGAGTGGCGCGTCGCGCAACAGGCATCACAGCCGCCGCCGCGCGCAGCTGGGCGCTCATGATGGATCAAGCGGGCCGTCTACACGTCGCATGTAGGTCGGGAGACATCCGGGGATGCGGCTTGGGTTGAATCGTGTCGGTGTTGGTTGCGTGGTGATGATGCGTGTGGTGGTGGTTTGGTGGTTTAATTCCAAAAGTTGCATCAGTTCTGGTAGGGGTCCAGAGCCTCAACCCCACCATGGCTTGGGGGCGACGTCAGGGATTCGTTAATGTAAAGTTGTTCACAGAATGCACGCCACTTCGCCACGCTACTGGCACTGCTTCGATGTGCTGTCGTCTTTTATTCGGTATTTCTCTGGTATAATACATAGCTACTGTCTGTTTGTTCATCCGACCTGCCAAACTCTGGGCGGTATGCAAAGAAAGATGCATGAGACTGTTTGGCGGAACTCAAGATAGGTAGCGATTATGCATAGTGACTGTGGACGCCATGCATAACCCCGGTCCACTGTTTGGAGTCGACTCAGGCCTCGATTCATTGACAAACGGCCAAGGTCGCTGAAGACGCGGACTCTAGACAAAGACATCAGAGGGAGCCATGAGTTGGGAATACTGCATGGTATTGTATTGGACATTGCATATATCAGATGCGCTGTTTGAGTTCAGTCGAATTTCCCTCAAACAGCAACTTCCACTTGGAAGTAAAGATAAATATCGTTGCGCAGCGGTAAAGTGGCCCGCGAGGCTTCCCTGCCCCTCGCTACAGTTTCGGAATTGGCTAGCTTCCGCCATTCCACAGCGGTATTTCGTCAGCGACCCAACGCCGTGCCTGCCGGGGACGTCGCGACGTCGCTGCCGCCAGCTGCGCTCTTCATGAGTCGATGCATCGGCACCACACCGTCTCCCGATCTTTCAAACGACCAATTGCTGGCGCATCCGATGATCGCACCAACCTAAACCCTATCCTCTTTTCCCCCGTCCACGGTGTGAAATACTCTTTCAGCTTTTAGGTCCGATTTAGCCTCGACTAGGCTGGTGGCGCCAGCTCCACGGCAACATGTGTCGTTTCCTTGTACGACGGATGTGACTCCTCGACAGAACTGCATTGGCTGATGGTGCTCGCGCACAGGTTTACAAAGGCACCGATGAGATCCTCCTCCGGAAGCTAATCCTCGATCCGACCCACTCGATCCTCAAGCAATCGTTCGACTCCCGCCTGCGTCTGGTGAGCTGCCCTCGCATCGGGTGCATGAGTGGGACGGCTATCTAACCCACGTTTTGGCATAGGACACGCGCCGGGGCCAGAATAACGCAGATGGCTTCGGCATCGGGTTCTACACCGAGCCTAAGCTCGGCGCGGCTCCGTGTCTCTTCACCTCGACCACGCCCGCCTGGAACTGCGTGAACCTCCAGCGCCTCGCCTCCAAGACGGCCTCACACCTCATCTTCGCCCATGTCCGCGCGACCACGGAAGGCTCGCTGAGTGAGGATAATTGCCACCCTTTTATGCACGGCAGTCTGATGTGGATGCACAATGGCGGTCTGGGTGGGTGGAAGCAGATTAAGCGCCGCCTCGGCGAGCGCCTGGCCGATAAGTGGTATCTCGGTGTCGTCGGCGGCACTGATAGCGAGTGGGCGTTCGCCTTGTTCCTCGACACCCTCGAGCGCATGGGCTACGACCCAAGCTCGCAGCCCGAGGATGGCTTCGGCCCCACGGTGCTGCGGAAAGCGATGCTCAAGACGATTGCCATCATCAACGAGCTCATCGATGGCATCCCAGAGAGTGTTATTCACGCCGAGAACGTGGACACGCGCAGTCTTCTCAACTTTGCTCTCTCGGATGGCCACACTGTTATCTGCACTCGCTACGTGGGCAGCTCGTCGGACGAGGCGGCGAGCCTGTACTACTCCTCCGGTACGCTGTGGGGGACCCGGGTACCCGATCCCGATAACCGGGACTATCAGATGGCCCGGAGTGACAAGGGCGCCGATGTGGTCTTGGTGGCGAGCGAACCACTTACCTTTGAGCGAGGTATGTTGTCCGGCGTTGAGACTCCAGTTGGTATCTAACCCACCATAGAAAACTGGGTTAACGTCCCCACAAACTCGATCCTGACTATCCACAACCAGACTGTCATGGTCCATCCTATCATGGATCAGTTCTATGATCGTAACCCCCATCACCGCCGGTCCGCTGCCTATGTTCGTACCAAGGGCCTGGCTGCTAATGAGAAGACCACGGCGGTGCTCGGGACTCCTATTCCGACTCCGTCGCCCGCCGTTGACGTGGAGGTTCAGAGAAAATTCATACCCAAGATTCCATTCAGTACATCCAGGTCACGGACGCCAGAGACCACAATGTCCCGGGTCCGGACGCCGCTGTCACATATTGAGCCGGCGCCCACCTCACTCGACGTGCGCTCGGCAACCCTGCAACCGGCAAAGTCACTGCAGCCACCGGCGCAGGGAAACATAAAGAAGAAGCGGGCCTCGCTGACAACGACGGAACCGCCACCGGGGCCCGATTCGTTCCAAGAAACAAGTCCCATCACACCTGAGCGGACAGAGTTCAACGGGAACCCCAACAAGATTGCCCAGTACTTTCCCGAGCTGAGCATGTCATGAACCTGTATCATTTGGACAGGGCAGGCGGCTGGATTTTACTATGCGATGCGTCGGCGTAAGGCGGGGACAATGGATACCATGTGTTATTACGGTGACTACAGAAAACGGCGTTTTGCGTGCTAGAGATTGGTAAATAGCCCAGGAGCAAGAATGATAGACTGCTCTGCAGGACAGGATGGTTCAAAAGTGAGCCCTGAGATCCAATGCGTGAGAAATAGGGGCTCAACTCTCTGAAGGGCCGCCCAAGGAAATACATCCTCCCGGTCCAGCCACACCACACCACACCACCCATAGAACCAAAATAAAAACGATGAGCAAATAAATCTCTTCTCCGGACAAGAAAAAGACACGAGAAATACAAAAAAAACAACGCTGGTTCGAAGACGGGAATTGAGCCCGACGTGGGGGTCGAACCCACAACCTTGAGATTACATAATCCTCCTTAAGAGTCTCACGCTCTACCGATTGAGCTAGCCGGGCGATGCCAAGCGTTGCTCGCTGTGTTGGAAACTGGGTGCGGTATTTTTGGCTATCAGCCTATCTAGTCAGTGCGACTTGGGTAGGTCACCCTTTTTCTAGGTATTTCACAAACGCCGCAACATTTCTGATTCCAGATTCCCGGGAGGGAACAGGACAGGAGAAGAAAACTGTTGCACCATTATCGCTACTCGCATGTTTGTTTGCATTTTATATTCCATAGGTAGTCACGAATTTAACTCCTTGTCACGAAGGCGCGCGCGTAGTTAAGTCACAAGATGCCATCAATGTCTGGAAAAAGACCGGTGGGAAGAAAGTCAAAAACACCAGACCCAGATGATATACATCAACGGCAAGGTGGCCGAGCGGTCCAAGGCGCCAGGTTCAGGATCCGCAAAAACCTGAATTTCTCAAGTATTCCTAGTCTCATCCTAAGTCTACTTCTCTCTTCCTGGTCTCAGAAATGGGGCGCGAGTTCGAATCTCGCCCTTGTCATTTTTCCATCTTTTGGAATATCCACTTGTTTTTTTTACTGTGGCTTGTGAGGTCGTCCCATTTTGGAGTGGGCCTCTTGGTTTCCAGCTTACCGGCTGCAGGTCGCAGATTGTGTCGGTGCAGATATTCCCAAGGAATGTATGTTCCGTATATTCTCCAGTTACACACATGTAGTGATACATTATGTACACGTTCACCACATAAATACAAGACACCACCCACATCAGCCGATCCGCCTCTCCTCGTCACTTCCCAGAAGCGAGTCGTCATCTTCTTGCTTCTCCTCGGCATCCGGGTACAACACATAATGCTGCGTCATGAAAATCACATCATAAATCATCGACACATTGCCCAGCGCAAACTTGACGGGGTTCCCCGTGATTCCCGACCAGTCACCCTGCAGATAACTGTCGATACCCTGCTGGGAAATACTCAGAATGCCTCCCACAAAATCCAGTAAGATCTGGAGGATGCTCCAGCCGACCGTCGACTTGTTGCGGTAGTTGACCACCACCTGCGGCGTGTACTTGACCAGCGTCACCACCAGCTTGACGTACGACACGGCATATATCGCATCGAGCCAGACCCAGGCGCCCCGGTGCGCGGGCTGCGTCGAGTCGCGGTCGGGCGAGCCGAGCACAACGAACAGAACGACGACGACGCCGAGGATGCACCCGAAGAAGATGCCGAGCACAAAACGGCTCGGGCGGTTGCCGATCGACGGACGGAAGCCCCAGGCGGCCGGGAAGAAGTACTGGGACGTCGTGACGAGCGAGAGGAGCAGGCCGTGGGCGGCGAAGGTGATGTCGTTGAACTGGACCGTCGGCGTCAACCCCTTGTGGCGGGCCGCATACTGGCCGCGAATCAGCGGCGAGTAGAAGAAGGCTACGTTCGAGAGGAAGTAGGCCGAGAAGCCTGCATCATACGAGTCAATAAACCGGGTAGAGCGGAAGGCGGTGCAGGGTTGCAGCTACCAAGGCAGTTGATCAAGGGAAAGTCAACTGTGGTTCCAGAGGTGGACCGGCGGCGGAAGTTGAGGATGGACTGGGGATAGAACGAGAGCGACCATGCGAGAAAGTAGATCCAGCCAAAGATGGCGGACACGATCTCCAGGAAGCCAAAACCCATTCCGGCAAACGAACGCGATCGCGCGAGGCGGCGACAGAGAGTCCAGACCGTGAAGCGCGTGCAGAGGAGAAGCGGGGAAACCGAGCACTTCCGAGATACCGGTTTGGCGACATGGGCAAATCCAGATGACAAAAAAGAACAAACCCCTGGCGCTCATCTGGGCACGGCATTTGCGGGTGGTTGCGGGGCTGTGTGGCAACCATGCGATCTGCTGGGCAGTCCCTGACACTTGGCATCGACCCTGTGAACCCTGTGACGTCATTGCACGACCAGCTGGGGGAAGCGAAGCTGAAGGACCCCGAAAATCAGTTCCAGACCCGACAGGCATTTCCGCGGCCACACATCGGGGGGGAGGGCGATATGCACAACACTTACACCTCGCCCATCAGCTCCATCTGAATTACACCTCCGACACGCCTCTCGACCGCTCTCCATTGCGCCATCTGAGAGCGAGACCATGCCGTTGAGGGCGCAGACGCGCATAGCTTGCCAGCGCTGTCGCAAGAAACGGGCAAAAGTGGGTAAATCTCATCTCAATTCCCCCCAATTCCTGTTCCCATCCCCGCCCTTTTGTCGGGTCCAGCTCGGCCGCGACGGCGTCTTGTTTGCTCCCGACCCGATGCTAACTGGATCTACAGTGCGATGGCCAATCGCCCTGCGCGCGATGCGACGAGGCCGGCGAGTCGTGCGAGTACGACCACATCCGGCGAGAGTCCAAGGGCGAGCTCCGCGCCGAGACGGTGCGCCTCCGCAGGGACACGGCCGAGAGCGACACGCTGCTGCGTGCGGTGGCCTCGATCGTCGATCCCTACATGTGCCGGAGGGTGCTCCAGGGCCTGATGGACGGCACCATCACCCGCCAGGCTGTCCTCCAAGAGTTCTACCAAGAGTCCGATAGCGGCGGCAGCACCGGACCGTCGCCCGGCTCGGCCCAGTCCGGCTCTGGTCCGCTCCACTCGGCCTCGACGTCTTCCTTTGGCCAGCTGCGGTCGTGGAAGTCGTGCCGGCCCAATATCCACAACATCGACCCCTCGGCCGGCAAGGATGTCGAGAAGCTTAAGCTCCGGGGGACCATCCTGTCGCTGCCCCCGCTGCCTCTCGATGCCTACTCGTCGCATGCGCAAACCGACACCTGGACGCGCACCGGCTGGACAAAAGCTCATCTGCGACACCTGATAGACGCCCTCCGCACCTGGGACTATCTTCCCTTCTGCCTCTTCTCCGAGGAGCTGTTTATGCGCGACTATGACAGCGGGGCCACGCAATACTGTTCGTCCGCGCTGGTTCACGCCATCCTCGCCCTTGCGACCCGGCTAATCAACGAGAGCAGCGACGACACGGGGCTGCTGCCGTCGGGCTGGAAGAGGAGCCGCGTCTTCCTGGACGAAGCCAACGGCATGCTGCAGACGGTCCGCCGGCTCGAGGGCCTGCCCGACATCCAGGCCCTGGGCATGCTGTCGCTGTACCATTTGCGTTGCGGCCGCGAGAACGAGGCGCACGAGGTGGCCAAGGCGTTTGCTACGAGCATCCGCGACCTCCTCGTGAACTCGCCGACTGCTGGCGGCGACCAGGACTACATGAGGGTGAGGAATATTACGTACTGCGGAGCCGTGACTTTGACTCGGTGCGCCCCCAGTCGTGTCTTGTGGATGGATCCTCGCTTACATGTTTACCTAGAATGTTAGCGCTCGCGTCCGGGCGCATCTTCAACATTGCCGAATATACGATACAGGAGGACCTGTTCTCGATTGATCAATTGCCAGGCGGTGGTCTCCGGGGGATACCCAATAAGCAAGGTCGTCCAGGCCCTACACCCGGTTGTTTGTTCTTTGTCTATATTTCTTGAGGCGGGAAGAGGCTAACGGAACGCAGGTCTTGCTACAGATGGTAATGCGCGTCCATGGGACGTCCAGCTCATCGGAGCCAGTCTGTTCCAGCTGACGGAATGGGTCTACCAGCTCATTATGGCCGCTCAGACCGACGTCCAGGCCGCCTCGGACGAGCTGCCCGCCGTCTACAAGCGCTGTCTCAACTGGTATACCGACATTTTCTCCCTGCAACCCCCCGACGCCGGCAGGACTCCGTTTGTGATGTTTGTCCAGTAAGATACTCTCCTTGGTCCTCTGCCGACAAGCTAATGATGATTAGCATGTACTACCACTTCTGCCTGCTGTGCGCATTCCGTCCGTTTGTCAGCTTCGTCCTCAACAACAGCAGCCTGAAACCGCACGAGATCTGCATCCAGGCCACCCAGTCTATCCTCGCACTGGGGCAGTCGTACGACGAGCTCTTCACGCTGCGCCGCGTTTCCGGCCTGATCCCGTACTTCATCTGTGCCACCGGCCTGTTTAGTCTGGCCATGGAGGAGGGCGGATCCGAGGTCGATCCTGTTCACTTGCGGCCCGGCGACGACGCCTCGTTCATGTCGGGCGGCGAGATGGACGTAGGAGGAGCGGTCCCCGACTCGCCTATTATCTACCGGTCACCGGAGACAGCTTCATCGCCGTCGCATGTTATGATGTCGGCGGCTGGGCATGCGCGGCTGTTGCTGGCAAAGATGGCTACGACGCATCCAGCTGCTAAGCAGGCGGATAAGCTTTTGAGGCAGGAGATTGCGCTGACTCCACCGAGTGCGAGCGAGGAGACGTCTACGCTGGGGTCGATGTGATTTTTTTGATTTTTTTTTTGGCTTTGGTTTGGGCAGCGGAGTTTGAGTTCTTAAATGGGGCAGTAGATGCACATCACGGAGTACACGAGCATCACGGCCGAATTTGCTTTGCCGAAGATACGATGGAGAGCAGGTAATCACCCATCCATCCGAGTGGCGTTTTTGGTATAATAACGGGTTCCGTTTGGCTTTTATGTTTGCCCGTCCGGTGTCAGAAGAGGTCCGGGATGGTTCAACTTGGTTGTTTTTCTTCTTCCGAGAGCGTTTGACGATGCCGAGACCGATCGATCGATGTGTGGAGGTTTCTCGAGTCGGCTATGATCACGGAGATGGGTATACGATTATGAGGATGAATATGGGATGTTGGATCGGTAATGGTAATTACTAGATTACCAGGCTCGGCGACGGGCCCAAGCGACGATGGAATGGGATGGATGAGAGAAAAGAATGTCCCCTCCCCCCTTACTAGAGGGGGTCGAAGTTGCGAGGCAGAGAATACCCACGTGTGGATAAAATATATGAGGAGTTTATGGTCTACATATTTGTGACTGAAGCGCGTTTTGGTATAAGGTATAATATAGTGCAGGACACGGGTAGACTTGTGGCACCTGCATAATTCTCCCAGATACAGCCTTGGACGGGAGCGTATGAAACGAGGAATATGGTTGTATATGCTATTTACGTGTACCGGGGGATGAATATGGTTTTTGACCTCTCTCTCTAGGTAGTGAATGCTTCCTTCATATGCACGAATCCAAACACTAGTCCGCGGGATGCTGTTACCGGCTGGCTGCCACGCACTTGTCATGCTTGCAGCAGAGAACACAGGGCAGGCAGGTCCGATTGTTAGTCTGGAGATGAGAGCATGTCTGTCTTCATGCAACCTACACATTACAATGAGCTACCCCCATCGTTTAGACTCTAGATATTCCGTGACACACACCGAGGCAAAAAGTACTGGGTATTTCGGGCAGAGGGAGATGTTATCTGCAGTTTGCTTCCTTTCACAAGGTATATTCGCGGGGATTGGGATCAGAGACCTACCTAGCTACCTCAGCAACTAAGCAGTTGAGTAACTAACGTCTATCTATGTAGGTCCATCCCATCCGTCCCAACAGACGAACTCGCAGCAGCCAGTCAAACCTATCGATCGATCGATCGGTGCGACTACCGACCACCGACTACCGAACACCGAACGAGTGAA